TATATATATAGTGTGTGTATATCTATATATATATCTATATAGATCTATATAGATATATATATATAGATATACAGTTGTGCTCATAAGTTTACATACCCTGGCAGAATTTATGATTTCCTGGCCATTTTTTAGAGAATATGAATAATAACACGAAAAACTTTCTGTCACTCATGGGTAGTGTTTGGCAGAAGCCATTTATTATCAATCAACTTTGTTTACTCTTTTTCAATCATAATGACAACAGAAACTACCCAAATTACCCTGATCAAAAGTTTACATACCCTGGTGCTTTTGGCCTGATAACATGCACACAGGTTGACACAAAGGGGTGTGAATGGCTATTAAAGGGAACCACCCTTTAATAGGTGGGTCGCTGATGTTTTGGGGATGTGTGAGCTACAAAGGCACGGGAAGGTTGGTCAGAATTGATGGCACGATGAATGCAGTATGTTATCAAAAGATACTGGAGGACAATTTGCATGCATCAGCTCGGAAGCTGCGCATGGGACGTACTTGGACATTCCAACATGACGATGATCCTAAACACAAGGCCAAGTCGACCTGTCATTGGCTACAGCAGAATAAAGTGAAGGTTCTGGAGTGGCCATCTCAGTCTCCTGACCTCAATATCATTGAGCCACTCTGGGGAGATCTCAAACGTGCAGTGCATGCAAGACAGCCCAAGAACTTTTTGCCAGGAAGAATGGGCAGCTTTACCATCTGAAAAGATAAAGAGCCTCATCCACACATACCACAAAAGACTTCAAGCTGTCATTGATGTTAAAGGGGGCAACACACCGTATTAAGAACTGGGGTATGTAAACTTTTGATCAGGGTCATTTGGGTAGTTTCTGTTGTCATTATGATTGGAAAAGAGTAAACACAGTTGATTGATAATAAATGGCTTTTGCCAAACACTACCCATGAATTAATAAATTCTGCCAGGGTATGTAAACTTATGAGCACAAGTGTGTGTATGTATATATATATATATACACACACACACTTGTGCTCATAAGTTTATATATATAATTAGGCATGCTGAAAATAGATTTTAACATAAACTTTAAATATGTTTATGGTCTGTATGTGTATGTACAGGTCTTTCAAGTTTTCAAGCTATCCGTTCTTTGGTGGCCCCCGAAATTGATATTTACTTGGTAAGAATGGTGATTACACTGCTTGAAAAAGAAGGGAGTGATGACAGTGAATTAAAGGCGGAGTCCTCAACCAGCAAATCTTTACAAGGTCTTGCTTCGCAGCCTGTGGGACCATCACAGCCAAAGACTTGTTTAAATAACAGCTCCTGGATTGAAAAGAAGGTTAGTAAAATGTATTCCTAACCTTGCTATTCACCTGCTGTGATTTATCCTTAGACCAATGTAGATAGAATTTGTGAAGCATGTTCCTCAATACAGTGGAGATGAAACTGCATAGCATTGAGCAAACAATGTCAAGTGCAAAATGTATCAAAGTCCATTATAGTGTCTGTCAGACCATCCAAGCATGTCCATAAAATAATTTATTCTACTCCAAGTGTTGGGTACCTTTATATACTGTGTTGATAGATTGATGTATTCGGGATAGGAGCTTCCTTCTTTAATACAGAAAATCCATATAAATTGCTAAAATAATAAAAACAACTTATAGCTCTCAGCAGCACAGGGAATACTTTTCATATCCTGACAGTTCTCATTGGGCCAGGGGCCCTGGAGCTTCCAGGAAGAAGTTAAAAAAAATACATGTCCCATTGACAGTTTAGGTGATATAAATATTATAGCAGAATACTTTTCACACATTGTATTTCAGAAACTAGTGGAAGAGAGCAAAACTGACGTCCAGCTAGCGCTCACAAAACTGGAGCTGCCTAAAACGCCTGCAGTAGCCCCAATCAAGCTTGCCTCATGGAATCAGCCTTTGCCAGATGAAGACACTGAATACCTATTTTCAGAATCACAGTTACAGGTAAAACTTTTAGTTTGTCATACTAGAAATAACACATTTTATTCACACTATTTTCCTTTTGCATAAAGTGGGAAGATTACTACATAGGATAGACTGTTTTTGTTGACAGTATATTGGCGACAGGTTTGCTTTAAATTACATCTACCTACCTTTCATGCTGTGACACTCTTTCCACAGTCATGCTTCTCATCTGTTTTTTTTTAGACCCCCTTCAGCCCTAACATAATGTTTCTGTGTTAACTTGCGTTAAGCAAGCCCATTCAAATGAGCTATAAGAGATCAAAAATCACACCTGCATTATTATTTCCAATGAATTGCACCACAACTCACAGTAGCATGTTGCCATGCATTGTGGTGCGGTAGTTTAGTGCTACTGAAAGTTAATGGCACCACAGCACCGTATATTCATTGTGGTAATGCGCATTTCTGCAACACATATTGCCAGCCTTAATTTACAGTATTGCTACTTTCAGCAATGCACAAAGGTAAATCTAGTAAGCTGCAATAGTCCATCAGTAGCAATAGCTACCTTGGGATACTCACTATTTATCTTTAGCTGCACGGAGCAACAAACGCAAGGCCTGTTTACACTGTCTGGGGCTCCCTCCCCTTCAACTATTACTAGGTGTAAAATGAACCTGTAATGAAAAACGTTGGGGTTTATACCTCACCCATTTCGCCTGTAATGGCATCTAGGCCAGGATGATGTCACACCTTGGCTAGATTTTGGGGAATACACAGCCAAATTCTTTTGGGAAGACACACTTTCAACCCACTGGAGTGTGTTCTCATGGGATTTTAGCTTGCTCTGCATTCTCCAGGACCTGCAGGAAGGACGATGATGTCACACACAGCGATGCAGAAGACTGGGGTATGTATAATTCAAATTTTTTTTTTTTATACAAGTAATTTGTAAAGCGGGAGGGTCTCAGACAATTTGAGCTAAATTTGCATTTAACTCATTGTATTTCAGAAACCAGTGAAGGAGAGTACCACTAATGCTCAGATGGCTCCCATAAAACTGGAGCTGCCTAAAACGTCTGCATTAGCCCCAATCAAGCTTGCCTCATGTAATCAACCTGTGCCAGATGAAGAGACTGAAGAACTATCGGAATCACAGTTACAGGTAAAACTTTTAGTTTGCCATACTAAACATATTAATATATTGTTTTAACGTATCTTCCGTAGCATACATTGCAAAGATTACTATATAGGATATAATGTTTTTGTTGAGGGTATATAGGTGACAGGTTTGCTTTAAATTAGATCACCTGCCAGTCATGCCAAGAGAATCTTTTCCAATCCTGTAAGCCAGATTCATGCTCCTTCCTATCTGGTTACCACAGCCGGGTCCTGAGAGATACAGAGCAGCTGAAATCTTGCAAGAAGACATTCTTACAAAGCACTGGAGTGCATTCTTGCAAGATGTTGCTTGCTCTGCATTCCCTGGGAAGGAAGATGATGAAAAACCCAGCGATGCAAAAGATTGGGATAAGGTAAGTACTATTCTAACTTTTTTTTACAGGCACATTTTACACCTACTACCGGCAACGACCGCTTTAAGCTTTCTCCTGATATTCAGTCGCATTCTGTAGCTTCTAGCAATTTTCTAATGCAGTAAATAATTTGAAGCTTTTGATACCCATTTGCTAATATAGATGGTTGTTGTCATGGTAGAAGAAAATGTGCCTAGAGTGAGAAACATTGTAAGAAGTGTAACTTCAAGTGCCATTAAAAAAAAAAATCCATGTAATGCTACTGGACTGGTGCTTTTTCAAAAAAAATTTAATTCCCATGTTTATGTTTTTGTGATGTGATAAATAATGGGGGGGTGCCAGGAAGGGCTGCCTGTAGGTGAAACTATTTCCAATACAAAGCCTTGGATTCCACAAGTGATAAATACATGTCGCAGCATAACTTGGTATCATAAATATCACTACTGAGGTGGCTACAGATACGTTTTTGAATTATTTATTTTAATTTAATTTCAACAGTTAGAGAGAGAAAGAGAACACCAAGGAGAAGACACCATGGTTCGGTGGGAGCACACTACATGCAAAACTAAATGTTGTCAGACATTTGCAAAAAGCTGAGCCCTACACACAATCTCCAAAACAATAGCTATTTTTTCATATTGCTGTATAATAGTTCAATTGGTGTATATACTGAAAGCAAAGTATTACACAATATTGTGTGTAATATGCTGATTGGACTGTTTTTCCAGTTAGGTCAGCATGTGTATTTGAAATCAAAATCAAATAATATAAAACTGTTATATAATTCTTGTGCTTTTTATATTTCAGACTTCAAAAAGAAAACTGCCTCAATGGTTTAGCGCACCCAAAGAACATCCCAGAATGCCCAATCTTGTCAAAAAAGCCAAAACTGGAAAAAAGAAAGGCCTTTTTGGTTGAAAAAGATGCTGCCAGCATTTTTAGCAGAAATACAATATAAACATGCTACAAGGTAGCAAAATTATACCATACTGCAAACTGTGAAATATTTTCACTTAATTCTAAGTGTATATTTAAAGTGCGGGTATTGTTTGTTCACTAGATAAGCTTTAATGATATAACCTGGTTTCCTAAACTTATACTCTAAGGGGATACTGTTATGCCTTGGGCTCAAATGAAAGACATTTTGACTAAATAGATATGGCCTTCTTTAGAAGTGACATATATACAAACAGGATCTGCTAACATCGAGAACTGTAAAATTTCATTGGGGCATTTCCTGGACTTGTGTTGTCAGGCTGTGGATATGCTACAGACAGTTTCTTATTCTACATTTGTAAGATTGTTATATTTAGTTTGTCTGTTCACATTTTTGTGAATTTATGGTATGCTGGCTAAATGTACTGTGAGTTACAAGACATTATAACCCTGACTTACACTGTTTTATCTGCTTCCATTCCAGTATTTCTGTATTGTTCTCTGAGCTACTGCACTTTGCACATCTTTGTTGCACTTTCAACTGCCTGATTAAATGGCACCACTAACATTACATAGTTAAGGTGACCAAAAGTACTTTTTCCAGCAGGGATAAAGCTGCCATTTGATTGATATTTACTTCCAAGCTTGTAATAATTTTTGCTTCTGATGTTCCAAGTGATGGTTAGGTTGATGGTAGTTGATATAATATATACTGCTTTATACCATGTGTATGAACCATATCAACTCACCCCTCAACAGCAAACTGTCGAAACCCTGTTCAGGATCTGAATAAAAATGTAGAAGTAGTGTGTCTATGGATGACCTTTGTATCCGTTTACTAGCCTGTTGTACCTCCTCCATGTTTCTAAAAGAAGACCAGCCAAGATTATTAATTTGGTCTTGGGTATAATATATATCACAGTGGAAAAACTAACCACTGATGCCAGTAACCACAAGCATAAGCACAGATATCATAAGCAGAGGAGAGTAACTTGATGTGCAAAATGCAAATGTGCCTGCCAGACATGTTAGACATGTTTAACAAAGCCTCATTTTGGACACTTATACCTTATGCCATAAGGTTATTTATATATATATATATATATA